AGGGAGCCCGATGTGGGACTCCATCCCAGAACCCTGGGATCACAACCTGAGCTAAAGGCAGATGCTTAACCGACTGAGCCACCCAGGCACCCCTTGCCAATAGTATTTTCTTTCCTGAGGTTCTAAAATGAACAAAGGAAACCTTCAAGTAAGTGTAGATTCATCTACTGCTCCTAACCCAGGAGCAAGAAATTTTTTTTTTTTTTTTTTTTTTTTGCATTAAGTCAACGTAGATGATTGCTCTATAGGATCTCCTTTCCCCAGACAGGCTGGCGCTGCAGCATTTATTGTTAGTCTAACCCCAATACTGTTTTCAACCCTAGAAGGCTTTGCCAGTCTTCAGAATCATTTCTCTTCTGCTGTAGAGTGGGAGACATCCTGTTCATTCTACAAATACTTACTGAGCACCTACCAGGCTCGAGGCATTGTTCTAGTGGCTTAGGTTTAAACAATGAACAAAATAGACAAAAGTCCCTGTCGTTATTAAGATTACATTATAATGGGAGGAGGCAGAAAGTAAACACAATACACAGGTATGATACATGGTATGTTAATTTATAAATGCCTTGGGAAAAATAGAGGAGGGAATAGGGAGTATGAGGAGTCATCTTCGTGGAGGGTGGTTACAGAAGGCCTCGCTGAGGTGACATTTAAGCAAATATCTGAAAGCAGTGAAAAAAAATGAGCAAGATATCTGAAGGAAAAGAGCAAAAGAAGTTGGTAGTGTGTCTGGTATGTCCTGGGACAGCAAGTTAGACTGCTGGTTAGAGCTTAGTGAGCAAGGGGAAGAGGAGGAGGTGAGGTCAGGGAGGTCAGGGGATTTGAAATAGCAGGTCAGATGTGTAGGTCCTTATAGTGAAATAGGAAAACCATGGAAAGTTCTAGAGGGTTGTTCTGAATGCCCTACTGAGAACAGGCTGAGAGAGGGCAAGAATGGAAGAAGGGAAAACCAGTTTGGAGACTTTCTGTAAACCAGGTGGGAAAGGAGATGGGTCACGGTGGGCTGGGAGCCATGATGGTGTAGAAATATTTGGACTACAGGTCTGTTTTGAAGGAATGGCTGGCATGATTTGGTTAGACAGGACATTCGATGTGAGAGGAAAAGGAAGCAAGAATAACTCCAAGGTTCTTGGCTTAAAGAAGGAGGATAGAGTTGTCATTTACTGGATTGGGGAAAGACTGCAGGCAGATCATGTTTTAGGGTGAAGATGAGTTGTGATCTGGCTTGTGGCTACCATGGCTTTCTGTGGCTGGGGTTCTTAGATGGCCAGGGTTCCAAATTAAGTTAATGGCCTGGACTAGACTATGACTGAAATGCCTTCTTGGGATGAAGACTTTAAGGAATCTGCCCATGGGCATTGTCCTCCTCCTGAGCTACCCTGTTCCAAAGTAGACTTGTAGTGAGCTATTGTATTAAATGTCCTTATATCTTTTTTTTTTCTGTGTCAAACACTTAATCAAAGGGATAGGAAAATGCACACACATATCATCACACATAACTAAAAACGTTGAAAACAACTCAAAAACTTGATTTCTTGTCCACTACATAACAAGCAGAACATGAGCCTCTATTAGAGGACTCACTGTCCTCCAAAAATCAAAACAATTCAATTCCACATTTGCGGGTCTGTGATATCACCAAGCCCCCAGCTCCTAGAAAATGCCAGGCTGGGCTGGTAAAGAAACCATACCAGGGCAATCTGAAATGTGCCTGATAGAAGAATGTAACCAGGAATGCACGGGACAAATAAATAATTCAAGAGAAGGATACACTTAAAACAGTCGTAGCTAAAACATCTGATGAAACAATACCTAAGATGGAATGAATATTTCAGCAAACGCATGGAAAGTGAAGGAAAGAAAAGCCATTATTTTAACTCGTTAGCGGGAGGAAAGGAAAACAAAACACAAGAACAGAAACTCACATATACGAATTACTTCAAAAGGCTAGGAAGAGATTAGGGGAAAGAAATTTTTAAATTGTGTCCTTGAATGGGGGACGGAATCTATACTGGGCAACATGGCAAGAGCGCAGAGAGCCGTATTTTTTCCCTATTCCACTCGCGATGCCAGCGGGTAGATCAGAAAGAAAACAACCAATAGCTACAAGAGAGTAACTAAGGAAATCCTAACTCGTTTTAAACCAAGTGGTGGCCAGACTAGGTGACTCAGAGCCATGACTCAAACCCAACACTGGGGGCCGTCAGCTCCCGGAGGCCGGGGGCGCGGCGTCAAACACATTTTAGGAAAGTACCAGGCTCGAGGAAGGCGACAGGAAACCTCCCCAGGGGATCGGCCTGGGGCTCCTCCTGCCCTACAGTCTGACCTCTTACCATCTACACCAAGAGGAGTTTCTAATCTCCTGGCTTCCCCTTCTTCCTTTACAGCCCGCCCACCCCACCACCCATTTTTCTTCCACAAAGTGTCACGCGGCGTGTGTATGCAAGACGCCGTGCCCCCTCCCAGCGGCTCCCCACCACGCGCTCACCCGCCCCGCCTCCTCGGCGAGCCGCTCCCTTCCCACCCCGCCCGCGCCCGCCGCTCGAACACGCGCCGCACGAACAGCGCCTGGAGCTGCACTAGACAAACACCTGTCCCGCCTGGGCTCCGCGAGATTTGGGGCGAAGGCATAGGCAACAGTGGGCGCGTTCTCGCGAGGTTTAGGAAATTTCCCACGGCCCGTGTTGTGTCTGAGCTGAGTAGTGGAAGGCGGTGGGAAGGAGGTGTAGCGTGAGACTGGGCTGCCCGCATTGGGCACATGCGCAGTGCCGCTCGCGAGTGCCGCGCCAATCCTGCAGCGCCTTCAGCAGGTCTCCGGCAGCGAATTCCAGTTCTCCGGGTTTTGGGGCTCCCTACAGGAGGCAGTGCTCGATCTGGGAAACTCTAGGAATTGAAAGGGCAAGCCTGGCGGGGGTGGCGAGGTGGAGAAAGGGTTGTGGCAGGTAGGAAGGAGGGGTCAGGATTCGAGCCCTTCTCCTTTCTATTAAATGCCCAGACGGACTAAGTTTGCTCCGGGGTTTCCAGGCTTAAGTTGCCTGAAGTGCGTTCCGGGCAGCGACCAGCGTCCTCGACTATGCCAGGCCCACGGAAGGACCCGAGCAGTGTCTGTCCCCATTCCACCTGGGTTCACACACGGCTGGGGACGGCGATGAGGTGCTAAGGAGGCTCACACAGCAGGCCGCTCTCTGCCCCGGGGGCATCTCTGGTTTGAGTGCGAGTGGGGCCTCAATTCCAACGCGGTTTTCACCTCTGGAGAAAACTACGCGGCGCTCTGGCATGCATATACGAGGTGGACATTAGGGGTGTCTTTGCCAGAGGCCTTGGCCTGACCTCATTTCACACCCAAGGAAAAGAAAGCTAAGTCCACAGAGCTCAACTGCGAGTTTTACATTTACAGAGCTCTGAAGGGTCACAGCCCACGTTGTCATCTTGTCTGTCTGTGCGCAAGCATGGGGGGGTCGAAGAGAGCGAAGACAGTTCTAGGTTTGTCACTTGCCGAACTCCAGGCATCTCTGTAGCTCCAGCATCTAACGCAGACATTTGCATAAGGGAGGTGTCCAATGAACGTCTGAATGAATGAAAAGGGCTGGGAACCAGAGTGAGCGGGAAGCCACTTGGAAAACACCCATTTGAGGAGGTGTTTCATCTAGGCCTGTGAAACGCGGCAGATTTTCCCAGGACCCCTCCTCCCTTCCCCTCGGCCCCGCCTCCTGACCCCTCCATTCCCCGTCCCCGTTGTAATCCCCTCCGGTTTTCCTCAGTCTCCACGTACGTCCCTCAGGGCGCGTCCCAAAACCCGGATAACCGGAACACTCCCCATGGACCACACTGAGGGTTCGCCCGCGGAGGAGCCGCCTGCGCATGCTCCATCGCTTGGGTAGGTGTCCAGGGAAGGCAGCGAGCAGGATCCCCCTACTCCGCGGGCGGCGCGAGGCGTTTGGCTCTTCGCGGCAGCTGCGAGGGGAAAAGAAGCGCGGGGGCTGGGTGGAATCGAGGAGTGAGGAAAAAGGGAAGGGGCGGGGGAGAGGGACCGGGGAAGGCGTCAGGGGGAATCTCGCGAGGGTTGGAGTTTTGGCGAGAGTTTGTGGAAGATGGCGCCTGTTGTGACAGGGTAAGTCTGGGGGAATCGGAGCGCTGGGAATCGGCAAAGTTGCGGGCGTCTCGCAGCCCGCGGCGGGCGGCGTGTTCGGGGGCCGCGGCGCGCTTGGCGTCCGGGGCCGCGGGGGCGGCGTCGCGTGCGTCGAGCGCGGCGGCGGCGGCGTGTGGCCGTGCGCTGCTCGCTCTGCGCCGCCGTGGCTCGGGCTCCGGCGCGTGAGGGCGGGCGGCGGCGGCGACGCCGGCGGGTGCGGGCGTG